TCAGCCATTTCTGGCCGGCAACTTTCAGCGTCATTAAGCTGCTGCGCCACCGCGTCCCCCTAAACAAGGGCATATCAGGGCTAAATGTAGCCCTGGTAGATAAGAGAATCATAGAATATAAGGGCTGGAAGGGACCTTGTAAATCATCTAGTCCAACCCCCTGCCAGACTACCCCCTATCCAGGTAGTCCTCAACTTATGACCATTCATTTAATGACCATTCAAGGTTACGATGGTGCTGAAAAATGACTTACAACCAGTCCTCGCACTTACAACCATTGCAGGGTCCCCACGGTCACATAATTAAAATTTAGGTGCTTGGCAACCAGCATGTATTTACGATGGTTGCAGCATCCTGGGGTCACATTATTGCCATTTGTGACCTTCCCAGGGGGCTTCTAACAAGCAAAGTTAATGGGGAAGCTGGATTTGCTTAATGACCAGCACAAAAAATGTCATGAAATCAGTTGCAGTCACATGATGCCTCGCTTAACAACCACACCACTTAACGAATTTTCCGGTCCCTACTGTGGTCATAAGTTGAAGACTACCTGTATAACCTCACTCCAAAGCACTTTTCTGCCTTTAAACCATGATTGCCATCACCTTACTGTTTGTCGCAGAACAACTTTGACACATGAGCTGGTGCCTTGCTTCGTGGAGGGATGTTCTGTCCTTCAACAAGCATCAAAGCCCAACGCTTTTGTGTTAATAGGCACGCTAGAAAGTAGAGCTGAACACTGTTTCAGCCTTGAAGGCCAAAAAGAACTTTGGGAAATGAGGAGCTTTGCTGGTCCCAGGTTGGCACCTCCCAGGCTGGCTGGGAATTCTAGGAGTTGTAGTCCCAGCACATCTAGAGGGGCCAGATGGACCTCTATTTGCAGATCATAGAATAATCCAACACATCTTGTGTCTGCAAGGACGTTCTCGGGATGGCATGGCCCCATAATTAAAATAAAATTTAAGTACTTCAAGGAGTAACTTGAACACTTTCCTTCTGCCTACGTTATTTGAAGGTTGAAAGGAAGTTTTCCAGTTGATATTGTTAAAACCAGTGCTTCTCAGCCTTGGCAACTTGAAGGTGTGTGGACTTCAACTCCCAGAATTCCCCAGCTGGAGAGGTAAAAGCCAGAAATGTTTATGGCTTAGGAGACATCTCCTGTGCAAAAGCGAAGGCAAAATGTTTCTTCTAAAATATCTCCCCCAGGCACAGTTTTTTAAAAAACATAAATATAAGCATATGAGATATATTTTTATTCTTTAAAGTAGTCTTATTATAATACAGTGGTACCTCGGGATACGAACTTAATCCGTTCCGTGACTCTGGTTGC